CGGAGGGGGCAAGCGGGTGCCACGACGAGGCTCGCGGGAGGAGCGAGCTGCCGCCGCCGCCGCGAGACTGCCGCTCCCAGACGACGAGCTCGGGCGGAGGGACGACCGGCGCCGGCCCGCCTCCCGCCTCTGGGGCGGAGCGAGGCGGAGGCGGCCTCGCCTGCAGCCGCCACACCTCTGCGTGAAGTGTCTAGGAAGTGTCCAGGAAGTGTCTAGGAAGCCTCGCCTGCAGCCGCCACACCTCTGCCGCAGACGCCGCGTCGAGCACGACGTAAGTGGCCTCGCCCCCGCCGCCGCACGCTCCCTCGGCCTGGGCGAGCAGCGTGGCGCACACGTGCCCCCCGCTCCAAAGAACCGCCGCCACGCGGCCCTGCACCGGGAGGCTCGCCCGCCGCGTCGCTGCGCAAGCCGGCGGCGGCGGGCGCGAGTCGGCGGCGGCGGAGGCGGCGCGGGACGGCTGCTGCACGAGCTGCAGTCCCCAGAGCTCGATCCTCCGATAGTGCGCCGTAGCGATGGCGGCGGGCGGCGGCGAGGGCGAGGAGTGCCCGCCGTGCACGCAGAGCGCGCCCGTGCAGGCTGCCACGAGCCGGCAGGCGCCACCAAGCCGAGGCAGCAGGTGCGCAGAGACCTCGCCGCCGCACGAGACAAGGAGCCAGTCGCTCGCGGGATCGCCGCCGCCGCCGCCGGGCCCACGGATCGCCGCCACCGCGAGCGCGTCCACTGAGACGCCGCTCCGGAGCACCAGGGTCGGGCCGGCCAGCCATTCGAGCGGGCCGTCTGCAGGAGGCAGAGCGGACGCCGCGTCCGAGCTGGCGGCGGCGGCGGCGGCGGCGGTGCTGGCGGCCTCTGTGGCGGCAGCCGCCGCGGCTGGCGCCATGAGAGCAAGCTCCATCGGCGTCGGACCACGCGAGGCGCGAGGCACGAGGCGGAACGTGCAGACGGTGCCAGACGCGGTGCCGATCACGACCGTGTCGCCGTGCAGCAGCAGTGCGGAGGCCGGAGAGGAGAGGGTCACCTCAGCGAGGAGAGCGGGCTGCTGCAGAGGCATGGCTAACGCGCTCGAGGAGCTCCCTGGGGAGGTCGAGGAGGCGGACGGGCGGCGGCGCGTCCGGCGATGGAGCGGCGGTCGAGGAGGAGGCGATGCGGCGCGAGCGGCGGCGCGGCGGGGTGGACATCGCGAGGAAAAGAAACCCCTCAGGCGCGGTGACAGCGGGGAAACTGCCTCTTCCTCCGAAAGAGATTAGTAGAAAAAGAGAATCGGCCGTGACGAAGCAATCATCGTAAGAGGCAATCCACTCAGGACTCATATGCTCCGCCGCCCGCTCGTGCTCCGCCGCCCGCTCGTGCTCCGCCGCCCGCTCGTGCTCCGCCGCCCGCTCGTTCTGACGCTGGCCTCGCGCCGCCCCCTCCTGGACATGCGCACGTACCCCCTCCTGGGCATGCGCACGTACCGTGGACACAACCGCATCGAGGACATGCTGACCGCCAGCGAGGCGTGCCGCTCACTGTCTCGTCGCCTGTGATGTCGAGACGAACTGTATGCGCGCCCATAAACAGGCGTGGCACTCGCTCGTTCCTGAGCGGCCCCTCGG